CCATGTGTATTTGGCATGAATGTTTACTGTAATTCCCCGGGTATAACACCCTAGCGTGATATAAACTCTACAAATAAAGGCGTGACTTTTCAACGGGTACAAAATATGAAGGACCCGAGTTGCTTCGCATGAAAATATTGTGCAAAGTTATAACAAACAACGTGGCAGGTTTTATCCACGATCTTGTTGAACATACTTGCATTCCCAGGACATAGGACATAAAGCATCCGACACTGATTTGGAAAATGCATTGTTATATTGTAAAATTACCGTCACCCCCCGGATATACCCCCATGGGGGGCAATAATAAAACAGGTTTTTTCAAGGGGGTGGGCTTATAATCGAGTAAATTTATAAGCGCCGGCGTTTATAAAATGACATTCATATTTTTTATATTGTTTAACACCAAACTGTAGGTCTCGTGCTTGCCCTTTCAATCGAGTCGAATTTACATGGGGTCGTCTGTGAAATTCTCGCGCGCGCTGGGAGACACACCCAATCTGACTCACATCCAGCTCCTGACAGCTCCTGCTGACTGGACCCGCATCCAGTGCAGGGTCCGAATGTGAAGGGAACCGAATCTGCAACATATCTGCCTGCTAAAGTAAAAATCATTACAACGTTTTGTACACATTTCAAATTTTAAAGTTTACGTGCGCTTATAATAAAACTAGTTTTTTCAGGGGGTGCGCTTATAATCGAGGAGGGGATATAAGCGCCATATGCCAATTAGAAGCGCCAGGCGCTTATCCTAGGGTGGCGCTTATATCCGGGGGGTGACGGTAATGGTTTTTTTTAGCTGAATTATTTTGCTAGCAGACATTTGGTATGACATGGCTGCATTGAATCTATCTTCACCAACCTTGCGAAATATGCCATAACGAAAGTCCCGCTTCGATTCAACCAGAATAAGGGCGTGGAACCGGTTCTGCCATTACGAAGTTATGGCTCGGACAGCGTTTGCCTAGTGTTGGAGTGCTAGCGTACTAGCGTTGACTCGGGTAGCATTCCGCCATTGCACCGCGTAGAAACGAAATTCCAGGAAGGGAGGAATTCGCTTGAATCAAATTGAGTATATCCAGGTACAAACAGAGAAGGAATAAGTAGTTCTAGCTAGCAAGGACCTTGGGAATAAACCTGGGAACAACCAGGGATGATCCCAAATAATTCCAAGCAACAGAACCAACCTGGCTAGACAAAACAGCAGGTGGTAGGTTGGTAAACAACCTCTGGTTCTATTTTTCCAACCTGGGAAAAGAACAAAAGATGAAGCATAACTTCGTATCAAAAGATGAAGCATTTCTTGAGTTTTGAATTTTGGCGCCCTAAGGGATATGCTGTAGCTGAAACTTAACTCAATCACAATTGTTCACACAAGAACCACAAAGAATATTCTGTCAACGGGAGTTGTGTGTTGGCCCCGTCCTCGCTTGGGCGGAGCCGACATCGTGGTCGGGGTGAGGGGAGCAGCCGACCTGCAGCAGTGGGCCAGCTGGTTGACGAGGAGGTCGACCTGCACGGGGATCACTGCACGGGCGCCGACTCCAGGGTGGCGCCGACTTCGGGGGGGGGGTCGACTTGGGAGTCGACCTGTGGAGGACGTCAACTTGGTGACATCAACTTGGGGAAGCCGACTTCGGTGGTCGGCTGACGGACTGCTGGTCGACCTGCGGGTGGTTGACTGGACCTGGTGGTCGACGAAGGAGGGGCCGACATCGACCTCGACTCAGGACACCGAGCAGTTGGGCGTCGAGTAGCGGGGCGTCAACTTCGTGACGCCAACTTCGGGAGCAGCTGGTCGACGTGGTTACTCGGTCGACCAGGTTACCTGGGTGACGAAGTGCTGCGGAGGAGTGCGACGGTCGCCCAGGCGAAGTTGGCGAGCCCGACCTCGGTGGTGGTATCCCGAGGTCGACGTGGCCGATCAGAAGCAGTCGTCAGCACGAGGTTGACGTGGTGTGTGCGCTGTGCAGGTGATGAGACTCTGCACGCCAATCATCTGCGCGCACCTGCGAAGCGGGTGCACTGCTGTTCTGCGCAAGCAACGCTGGCACGCTGTCAACCTGCGACGTTGGCACGCCGTCGACCTTGCCTTGCTGGAGCGCGGTCGACCAAGTCGTGCTGGAACGCGGTCGACCAAGCTGCGCTGGCAGTTGGCCGACCTGAATGCTTGCTCTGATGTAGTCTTGCTATGCCAACTTCATTGTATCATTGTTCTGAACTTTTCCTAGTGGAACTCTTGCCAATTTTCCCCGTGAACAAGCAAGTAGTGTGTGCACAAGGAAAACGACTAAGGACTAACGAACGCAGAGATCACACGAGCACACGTGCCTAGCCCGTAGTCTAGCTCCCGTTGTAGCAGTTATCTCCGCATGGTGCGGTGAGCGTGGACGACACACGACTTACCTTTCAGTCAGGTCGACGTAGACACCACTTACCTATTTCGTAGTTACAGGCCGGCAACTGTGCGGTAGTCACTATGGTAGGAGCCGTAGGTGACGCGGGGGTGGTGGACTCCCTGGAGGCACGGTTGGAGAACGCGAGGAGGAAGCACGAGGCCAACGAGTATGGCGACTTGCCCTGGGCGGTCGTCGAGGCTGGACTCCGCTCCATGTGGGCGACGGAGCACCCGTCTCGACCTGCCTCTCCTCGTCCGGTGAACAACGAAGGCGGTGTCGACGTGGGCGTCAACGCCGGTGGTGGTCAAGTCGGCAGCAGTGGTGGAGGCACGTCGAGGCAGAGAGGTGTGATACACGCCGGTGAAGTCGGCGGCGTTCAGGCGCGAGGGATGCAGTCGTCGGCGGCTGCAGGCTCTTCGCAGGGTGACGTCGGAGGTCGACGGAGTGGGCTGTCGCCGATGTCGGCGTCCCAGGTGACGGCAGGCGGGATTGCGCCGAGCTACGGCTACTTCAAGTTCACGCCGGACAGGATCTCAGTCACCCCCCCACTGGTCGGTCGACCCGACATTCTCACCTGGAAGGAAGCTATCGAGCCCCAGCTGGAGATAGCCGGGCTGATCGGCTTCGCCTGAGGGACCGTGGCGACGCCGGGGGAGCACCACCCCGACTTGCGCGCGGAGTTTCGCGCCGTGCAGCTGTTGACCTTCACGATCATCTCGCGGTGCTGCTCGCCGGGCGTGCAGATCGCCTTAAAGTGGTGCCGGGAGTACATCGACGCCGGCCACCGGGCGTGGCACTTCATTGAGTCGACGTACCAGGTCACCGACGACCTGTTCATCGCCCAGCTGGAGGGACAGCTGACGCACCTGCGTATGGGTGACGAGGAGACAGCGACTGACTACTGCAACCGAGCTCGGCGAATTCTCGCCACTATCAGGATGGCCGGCGCGCAGTACTCCACGGCGTCGTAAATCACCCATGTCATGCAGGGACTTTCTAGCAGCTATAACCTCCTGAAGCGGCTGTCAATGGCGCCGAGCACAAGGGCGACGCTCAACGAGGACAACCAGACCTCGTACATCCTGCAGGACGAGGCGATGCAGGAGGCTGAGCGGTCACAGGAACTCTTGGCGCAGGCCAACTTCGTCGCCCCGGCGAAGCAAGGAGGCCGACCAGGACAGCGCGGACAGTCTGGTGGCGGCGGGAGTGGTGGCTGGAAGTCGACCAAGGAGGTCAAGAAGAAGTCGACCAAGGACGGCGGTCGAGAAGGAGGAGGTCGACGTCGAGAGTGCTGGATCTGCCACAGCCCCGATCACCTCTCCTTCGAGTGTCCCGACCGCAGTGACTCCGACGACAACGACAAGGGCGGCCGCGGGAGGTCGAGCAGTCGTCGTCCTCGTCAAAGAGGGAAACCGGCCGCGCAAGGAGAAGCAGTCGACCAAGATGTCGACTTCGGCGAAGGACGCCGACTCCCCTGCTGGCGGCAAGGCGCGGGATGACAAGACGGCGTCGTGCTCGCTGGTCAGCGTCGTGGAGCCGACCGTCTCGCTGGCGCCGGAGGCCGGAGAGGACTTCCAGGCGGTGGCGGCAGCTGTGTAGGCGAACCTGGCGGTGGTCCTGCTCGACAGCGGTTGCTCCCACCACCTGATGGGGACGAAGGAAGCCTTCGTTGACCTGCACCCGAGCGGCGCCATCAGGCATGTGCGCGGCTTCAATGGGGCGCTGCAGGACATCCAGTGCCGTGGCACCGTCGCCCTACAAGGGGAGGCCGGGAAGCAGGTACTCATCCCCGACGTACTGTATGTCCCGGGTGTGCGGGCCAACCTGCTGTCGTCCGGCCTGCTGAAGGAGCACGGCGTGAAGCTGCACGAGGACGGAGAGGGAATGATGCTCGTCTTTGCAGCCGGAGCGGTGCTCGGTCGGGCGACGTACTCCGGGCGTGTCCTCTGCACCGACCTGCGTCCCTGCTCAACGAGGTCGACGTCGCCCACGACGGAGGTTGTGGCTCTGCGGGCGATCGTCTCGAAGACAAAGTCGACCCCGGACCGGATGCATGCGCGGCTTGCACATGTCGGCATGGACACCATACGGAGCTCGGCGAAGAACGAGGTCGCCATTGGGCTGGACCTCAAGTCGGCGACGGACGCCGACTCCCCGTGTGTCACGTGCGTCGGCGGGAAACTGGCGCGGCACACCTTCCCCGACCAAGGCTCCGACGCCGACGACATGCTGGGGGGGTTGGGGTTGGGGGGGGGTGCCAGTAGACGTGCACCGGGGATCCCCCGATTGATACTGAGAAATGGTTACAAGCACGCTTGCCTAGGGGATAATGGACGCGCTCACTACTTAAAAAGCGCTTTTATCCCAGTGGTGTAGTGACTTAGATTCTAGGAATATTTTTTGTTGCTCAGAATGCTAACATTCTAATTCGGGGCCACCTTGTGTTCTTCAAAATGCTGACCTCCAGCTTAAATCCATGCACATCCCCCTGCATTGTGATCCATGTACATGTGACAACTGCTGACCTGCGAACTGAATGCCCGCCATTCCATGGCCATGTGCGTCATTGCCTGTCTTGTGTTCTCACTACAGGTGCGAGCCATGGCCTCTCTCCACCACACACACCTCGTGCGCCTGCTGGGCTTTTGCCTGGACCAGAACGTGGAGACAGGCAAGCAGGAGCAGATCCTCGTGTACGATTTCATAGGCAATAGGGACATGGAGTACCATATCCACAAGACCAAGCGTGAGTTTGCACTATGGTTGCCACGCGCCTTTTGTTTACATTATTATTATTTTTCTTGCACAGCATGACACCATCACTCACAAACCGATCATCCATATGTTGTTTGTTTTTCTCACTGCATGGTATACTCGTTGCATGGCCCAGGTCCGCTCTCTCTACGCCAGAGGCTGCGCCTGGCACTGGGAGCAGCAGAGGGCTTGGCGTACCTGCACGGTTTTGACACGCCCATCGTTCACCGTGACATCAAGCCCGCCAACATTCTTGTGACTGAAGACATGCAAGCCAAGGTGGCTGACTTTGGGCTGCTCAAGCGCCTCACTCACGGCGATGCTGATGCCACGCGAGTTGCTGGCACTCCGGGCTATGTGGATCCGGATTACAACCGCACCAATGTCATCACAGCCAAGAGTGACGTGTTCAGGTCAGTATGCTTGTTCCTTTCTACAACACATTACACTTCTGCGCCCCTGTTTCTCTTAATATCCAGGTTATGCTAAATACCTGTACCCTGTACCTCTCTCTCTTTTTTTCTCCATCTTTTTCCCTCTTATATTAAATGCATGATTGCTTGCAGCTTTGGAGTCGTGCTTCTTGAGCTGCTGAGTGGAAAGTCGCCCCAAGTCAACACAAGAACGCACATATGCAAATGGGTAAGTGTGTTATCCAATATTTGAGTTTGCTAAAAAACAAATAAAAATAGTGCATTTAAGATAATGTTAATGTCCATCGAATCTCAAATGGATCTAATGGCCACTCATTTATCCGTAATTCACTTTTGTGCTACCACTCATTTGTACAGTAATGTTTTTGTCATCTTGCTGCCTTCCACCGTCTTCCATACTTAGCATGCTGCTTTCCATCACCCTTTCTTTTATAAACTCCTTCCAGGCTATGAAGCTGGTGGAGACATATGAGCTAGAAGAGCTGAGGGACAGCAAGATGCCGGCGGCAAGTGAAGAGGCTATAGTGGAACTTGCACACCTGGCTCTGGACTGCATCAAGTCTCCTGGCACACGGCGACCCACTATGAAGGATGTGGCATACCGCCTCAGTGCCCTCATTGCCAAGCACTGCCCCGACAAGGAGGATGAGTGGGAGAGTGCCACAGAAGAAGAGAGTGAAAGCAACAAGGGTAGTTAAACTAGGGATGCTTTTGCTGTGTCATTTGGAGACAGCAGGAGGGAGGCTGAGAGGCCGCATGGTTCACAGTCTGGTGTGAGCTCATTTGTGCGCGTTGGCTCGATAGGTGATGGCCTCAAGAGCTGGCTGCACTCGAAGCCAACCAAAGGGCGTTAAAAATGCCCATAATGACGGTACCCATGTGTATTTGGCATGAATGTTTACTGTAATTCCCCGGGTATAACACCCTAGCGTGATATAAACTCTACAAATGAAGGCGTCCCTTTTCAACGGGTACAAAATATGAAGGACCCGAGTTGCTTCGCATGAAAATATTGTGCAAAGTTATAATAAACAACGTGGCAGGTTTTATCCACAACCTTGTTGAACATACTTGCATTGCCAGGACATAGGACATACCGGTAAAGCATCCGACACTGATTTGGAAAATGCATTGTTATATTGTAAAATTAATGGTTTTTTTTAGCTGAATTATTTTGCTAGCAGACATTTGGTATGACATGGCTGCATTGAATCTATCTTCACCAACCTTGCGAAATATGCCATAACGAAAGTCCCGCTTCGATTCAACCAGAATAAGGGCGTGGAACCGGTTCTGCCATTACGAAGTTATGGCTCGGACAACGTTTGCCTAGTGTTGGAGTGCTAGCGTACTAGCGTTGACTCGGGTAGCATTCCGCCATTGCACCGCGTAGAAACGAAATTCCAGGAAGGGAGGAATTCGCTTGAATCAAATTGAGTATATCCAGGTACAAACAGAGAAGGAATAAGTAGTTCTAGCTAGCAAGGACCTTGGGAATAAACCTGGGAACAACCAGGGATGATCCCAAATAATTCCAAGCAACAGAACCAACCTGGCTAGACAAAACAGCAGGTGGTAGGTTGGTAAACAACCTCTGGTTCTATTTTTCCAACCTGGGAAAACAACAAAAGATGAAGCATAACTTCGTATCAAAAGATGAAGCATTTCTTGAGTTCTGAATTTTGGCGCCCTAAGGGATATGCTGTAGCTGAAACTTAACTCAATCACAATTGTTCACACAAGAACCACAAAGAATATTATGTCAACGGGAGTTGTGTGTTGGCCCCGTCCTCGCTTGGGCGGAGCCGACATCGTGGTCGGGGTGAGGGGAGCAGCCGACCTGCAGCAGTGGGCCAGCTGGTTGACAAGGAGGTCGACCTGCACGGGGATCACTGCACGGGCGCCGACTCCAGGGTGGCGCCGACTTCGGGGGGGGTCGACTTGGGAGTCGACCTGCGGAGGACGTCAACTTGGTGACATCAACTTGGGGAAGCCGACTTCGGTGGTCGGGTGACGGACTGCTGGTCGACCTGCGGGTGGTCGACTGGACCTGGTGGTCGACGAAGGAGGGGCCGACATCGACCTCGACTCAGGACACCGAGCAGTTGGGCGTCGAGTAGCGGGGCGTCAACTTCGTGACGCCAACTTCGGGAGCAGCTGGTCGACGTGGTTACCCGGTCGACCAGGTTACCTGGGTGACGAAGTGCTGCGGAGGAGTGCGACGGTCGCCCAGGCGAAGTTGGCGAGCCCGACCTCGGTGGTGGTATCCCGAGGTTGATGTGGCCGATCAGAAGCAGTCGTCAGCACGAGGTTGACGTGGTGTGTGCGCTGTGCAGGTGACGAGACTCTGCACGCCAATCATCTGCGCGCACCTGCGAAGCGGGTGCACTGCTGTTCTGCGCAAGCAACGCTGGCACGCTGTCAACCTGCGACGTTGGCACGACGTCGACCTTGCCTTGCTGGAGCGCGGTCGACCAAGTCGTGCTGGAACGCGGTCGACCAAGCTGCGCTGGCAGTTGGCCGACCTGAATGCTTGCTCTGATGTAGTCTTGCTATGCCAACTTCATTGTATCATTGTTCTGAACTTTTCCTAGTGGAACTCTTGCCAATTTTCCCCGTGAACTAGCAAGTAGTGTGTGCACAAGGAAAACGACTAAGGACTAACGAACGCAGAGATCACACGAGCACCCGTGCCTAGCCCGTAGTCTAGCTCCCGTTGTAGCAGTTATCTCCGCATGGTGCGGTGAGCGTGGACGGCACACAACTTACCTTTCAGTCAGGTCAACGTAGACACCACTTACCTATTTCGTAGTTACAGGCCGGCAACTGTGCGGTAGTCACTATGGTAGGAGCCGTAGGTGACGCGGGGGTGGTGGACTCCCTGGAGGCACGGTTGGAGAACGCGAGGAGGAAGCACGAGGCCAACGAGTATGGCGACTTGCCCTGGGCGGTCGTCGAGGCTGGACTCCGCTCCATGTGGGCGACGGAGCACCCGTCTCGACCTGCCTCTCCTCGTCCGGTGAACAACGAAGGCGGCGTCGACGTGGGCGTCAACGCCGGTGGTGGTCAAGTCGGCAGCAGTGCTGGAGGCACGTCGAGGCAGAGAGGTGTGATACACGCCGGTGAAGTCGGCGGCGTTCAGGCGCGAGGGATGCAGTCGTCGGCGGCTGCAGGCTCTTTGCAGGGTGACGTCGGAGGTCGACGGAGTGGGCTGTCGCCGATGTCGGCGTCCCAGGTGACGGCAGGCGGGATTGCGCCGAGCTACGGCTACTTCAAGTTCACGCCGGACAGGATCTCAGTCACCCCCCCACTGGTCGGTCGACCCGACATTCTCACCTGGAAGGAAGCTATCGAGCCCCAGCTGGAGATGGCCGGGCTGATCGGCTTCGCCCGAGGGACCGTGGCGACGTCGGGGGAGCACCACCCCGACTTGCGCGCGGAGTTTCGCGCCGTGCAGCTGTTGACCTTCTCGATCATCTCGCGGTGCTGCTCGCCGGGCGTGCAGATCGCCTTAAAGTGGTGCCGGGAGTACATCGACGCCGGCCACCGGGCGTGGCACTTCATTGAGTCGACGTACCAGGTCACCGATGACCTGTTCATCGCCCAGCTGGAGGGACAGCTGACGCACCTGCGTATGGGTGACGAGGAGACAGCGACTGACTACTGCAACCGAGCCCGGCGAATTCTTGCCACTATCAGGATGGCCGGCGCGCAGTACTCCACGGCGTCGTACGTCACCCATGTCATGCAGGGACTTTCTAGCAGCTATAACCTCCTGAAGCGGCTGTCAATGGCGTCGAGCACAAGGGCGACGCTCAACGAGGACAACCAGACCTCGTACATCCTGCAGGACGAGGCGATGCAGGAGGCTGAGCGGTCACAGGAACTCTTGGCGCAGGCCAACTTCGTCGCCCCGGCGAAGCAAGGAGGCCGACCAGGACAGCGCGGACAGTCTGGTGGCGGCGGGAGTGGTGGCTGGAAGTCGACCAAGGAGGTCGAGAAGAAGTCGACCAAGGACGGCTGTCGAGGAGGAGGTCGACGTCGAGAGTGCTGGATCTGCCACAGCCCCGATCACCTCTCCTTCGAGTGTCCCGACCGCAGTGAATCCGACGACAACAACAAGGGCGGCCGCGGGAGGTCGAGCAGTCGTCGTCCTCGTCGAAGAGGGAAACCGGCCGCGCAAGGAGAAGCAGTCGACCAAGATGTCGACTTCGGCGAAGGACGCCGACTCCCCTGCTGGCGGCAAGGCGGGGGATGACAAGACGGCGTCGTGCTCGCTGGTCAGCGTCGTGGAGCCGACCGTCTCGCTGGCGCCGGAGGCCGGAGAGGACTTCCAGGCGGTGGCGGCAGCTGTGCAGGCGAACCCGGCGGTGGTCCTGCTTGACAGCGGTTGCTCCCACCACCTGATGGGGACGAAGGAAGCCTTCGTCGACCTGCAGCCGAGCGGCGCCATCAGGCATGTGCGCGGCTTCAATGGGGCGCTGCAGGACGTCCAGTGCCGTGGCACCGTCGCCCTACAAGGGGAGGCCGGGAAGCAGGTACTCATCCCCGACGTACTGTATGTCCCGGGTGTGCGGGCCAACCTGCTGTCGTCCGGCCAGCTGAAGGAGCACGGCGTGAAGCTGCACGAGGACGGAGAGGGAATGATGCTCGTCTCTGCAGCCGGAGCGGTGCTCGGTCGGGCGACGTACTCCGGGCGTGTCCTCTGCACCGACCTGCGTCCCTGCTCAACGAGGTCGACGTCGCCCACAACGGAGGTTGTGGCTCTGCGGGCGATCGTCTCGAAGACGAAGTCGACGCCGGACCGGATGCATGCGCGGCTTGCACATGTCGGCGTGGACACCATACGGAGCTCGGCGAAGAACGAGGTCGCCATTGGGCTGGACCTCAAGTCGGCGACGGACGCCGACTCCCCGTGTGTCACGTGCGTCGGCGGGAAACTGGCGCGGCACACCTTCCCCGACCAAGGCTCCGACGCCGACGACATGCTGGGGGGGTTGGGGTTGGGGGGGGGTGCCAGTAGACGTGCACCGGGGATCCCCCGATTGATACTGAGAAATGGTTACAAGCACGCTTGCCTAGGGGATAATGGACGCGCTCACTACTTAAAAAACGCTTTTATCCCAGTGGTGTAGTGACTTAGATTCTAGGAATATTTTTTGTTGCTCAAAATGCTAACATTCTAATTCGGGGCCACCTTGTGTTCTTCAAAATGCTGACCTCCAGCTTAAATCCATGCACATCCCCCTGCATTGTGATCCATGTACATGTGACAACTGCTGACCTGCGAACTGAATGCCCGCCATTCCATGGCCATGTGCGTCATTGCCTGTCTTGTGTTCTCACTACAGGTGCGAGCCATGGCCTCTCTCCACCACACACACCTCGTGCGCCTGCTGGGCTTTTGCCTGGACCAGAACGTGGAGACAGGCAAGCAGGAGCAGATCCTCGTGTACGATTTCATAGGCAATAGGGACATGGAGTACCATATCCACAAGACCAAGCGTGAGTTTGCACTATGGTTGCCACGCGCCTTTTGTTTACATTATTATTATTTTTCTTGCACAGCATGACACCATCACTCACAAACCGATCATCCATATGTTGTTTGTTTTTCTCACTGCATGGTATACTCGTTGCATGGCCCAGGTCCGCTCTCTCTACGCCAGAGGCTGCGCCTGGCACTGGGAGCAGCAGA